CACAAGCAACGGTTGCTTGTTTCCAAAGGCGGCTACATGCTGGTCGTTGAGCCTGTTCATGGGTACACTTAGGTTATGATGGTGCCAGGGTACAGTGAGGAGAGAGAATACACACGCTACAACAAGAGAGTCGGGTCACGGGTCAAATGTTGTCGCCGCCACCGCCGCCAGCCTCCACCCTCTCCCATCAGCTGGCGGCTCCCTTGACGGGGCTGGACCACCACCCCCGCACAGGCGGCGAGCGCGCCAGGAGGCTGGCGGCGGCGTCCTTGGCGCTGTCGTTCCTGCCGGGAGAGCCGCTGGCGCCGCCGCCGGCCGCCGCCAGCTTCATCAGCGCTTCCAGCTTCTCGTGCTTGGCCTGATCCAGCTGCTGCCGCAGTGTGGAGCACTCCTGCAGGCAGGCAGGCAGGGAGGGAAGTGACCGTCGGCGGGCAGACAAGGAAAGGCAAGGCAAGGTAAGGCAAGGAGGCTGGAAGGGAGCAGCTGCAGCAGGCAGGGAGCGGGCCCCCATGGCGGTCGACTCCCGCCGGCTTGCCTGCTCCAGCTGCTCTATCCTGCCGCCTGCCCTGCTCCTGCCGCCCTCTGCGTCAGACAGGCGCATCAGCGCCGCCACCTTCTGCTGCGTCACCTCCTCCACCCGCTGCCGCAGCGCCACAGCGCCGTCCTGCTGCTCGCGCAGCTGCTCGCGCAGTGAGGCCACCTGCGAGGCGGGCCAAGCAAGGAGGCACGGCAGAGAGGGTGCGGGGGGCGCCACGCAGGCGCTGGCAGCTGCGCAAGGGCAGCGCGCCACACGAGGCGAGTGCCAGCAGCTTTCCTAGCCTCCACTCGACAACAAGACTGCCACACAACGCACGCAGGGCCACACCCCCGCCCGCACCTCCTCTGCGTGGTGCCGCACCAGAGCCTCCACGTCCGCCTCCTGCCGCTGCCCCTGCTGCGCCGCCGACGCCTCGGCCGCCTGCCGCGCCGCGCCCGCCTCCTCCGCCGCCGCCGTCGCCGCCTCCAGCTGCTGCTGCAGCTGCGCCACCTCGGCCTGCACAGCACATTGCGGCACGGCACGGCACGGAGCAGGAGGATGGAGAGAGGCTGGAGGCACGCGAGGGAAGGCACCGAAGAAAAAGGGGGGGGGGAGGCAGCCAGGAGCGCTGCTGTGCGGCAACCTGTGCGGTAACCGCCGGGCCGCCACCCGCCGGACGCCTTCCCCTCCCTCACCTGCAGCTCCTGCACTTCCCCCCGCAGCTGCTGCTGCACCACGGCGTGCGCCGCCGCGAGGTCGTCGGCCTGCCGGTGCGCCGCCGCCGCCTCGCCCGCCGCCGCCTCGCGCGCCGCCGCCGCCGCCGCCACCTCCTGCCGCAGCTGCGCGACCTGGCTCAGCAGCTCCCGCTCCCGCCCCCGCAGCCGCTCCACCTCGCCCGCGCTGGCAGCCAGCTGGGATCGCAGCCCCGGCAGCGCCGCCGCCTCGGCCGCCTGCGCCTGCGCGCCGCGCAGCTGCTGCCGCACCTCGGCCAGCTGGCGCTCCAGCTGCGCGCGCTGCGACGATTCAGTCTCCGCCCGGCTGCTGGCCTCGCGCAGCTGCTGGTCCAGCTGCGGGCGGGCGGGCAGGCAGGCGGGCGGCGGGAGGCGGCCGGAGGGGGTGAGCAGCAGCAGGCAGAAGCAGCAGCAGCAGGCAGCATGCAGCAGCCGACCAGCAAACGGCATGCGCCACAGGCAGGCGACGCTGGCAGCCCACACCGTCACCCCTCCTCCTCGCAGTTTCCACGACCCGCCAACACACACACACGGTGACACCACCACCACGCCGCCATGCCGCCGTGCCCGCCGCCTCACCCGCAGGTTCTGCGCCTTGAGCTCCTCGCCCTCCCACGCCGCGCGGTCTCGGTCCGCCATGACGCGCGCGCTCTGCGCCTGGTAGAAGGCCAGCTCCTTGTCCAGCGCCGCCGCCCGCTCCAGCTGCGCGCGGTGCCCCGCCTCGGCGCGCCGCTTGGCCTCCTTCACCTCACCCAAGTCCTCCCGCAGGTTGTCCCGCTCCAGGGTGACGCCCGACAGCGCGGCGCGCGTCGCAGACAGCTCCTTCTCTGCGCGGCGGAGCGGGCAGCGGAGGCTGGGCGGGGTCGGCGGCGGGTGGAAGCGGGAGAGGGAGGCATGCGCGTGCAGCAGCGGGCGGGCAGGATGACGGCACCACCCAGGCGGTGGCCCCCTGTCCGTACGTTGCGCCCTTCCGCCTCCAGGCCACAGGGCCGGGCCCGGGGCACAGCACACGGCCCCCGTCTGGTCAAACGTGCCTGTGGAATAGATGCGCTCCTGCAGCACGCTGCTGCCGTTGAAGGTGGCCCCGCGCGAGTCTGCCAGGCACATGTTCTCCAGGTCGCGCATGAGGTCGTCCCGCTCACGCAGCGCCTCGTCCAGCTTGTACTGCAGCTCCTTGCAGTGCTTGCGCAGCTGGCGGGGCAGGCGGGGCGGGCGCTGGCGGGCAGTCGGCAGCAGGCGGGGAACAAGCGCGCCATGTGGCACCCTACGCTGCCGTCTCGTCGACCACCGCCCAGACGGGTGGCCGGGCGAGGGCTCCGAGAGAAGAAGTGCGCACTTGCACCTTGTGGCGGCCGCGGCAGTGCGAGGAAGAGGAGGGCCTGTAGCACCAGACTGCACCACGTGCTCACCTGCCGGCCGTCGGTGTCGGCCATGGCGCCAAGGGCTTTCCCTGCGGGCAGATGTTGTACGCTGGAGCCGGGCCCCGAGCAGAACCCAACTCCTGGGAAGCTTGGTGGATTGCAAGGCACAGGCAGCTGGGGGAGAGGAGGCAGGGTGAGGGTGCGGGGGTGCCTGCTTGCCAGCGTGGCGGATTGGCGAAAACGACATTGCAAACGCGTCGTTATCATTGTTATTTGAATGCACTGGAGCCACACATTCCCTCCAGCCGGCAGCATGGGCCCAGCCCCGTGGTCAGGCGCTCATCCATGAGATGGCCGCCCAGCTTCGCCTCACCGTGGCCCACGGGGTGAAGTGGAAGGAGGAGAAGAAGAGCTGGGGGGAAGCCGAGGCGCTGGATGCGCTGCGGCGGACATATGGTGCGCGCTCGCCGCCGCCGCTGCCGCCTGCCGACGCTAGGTTGTTGCCGCAACCGCTAGGTTGCTGCCGCAACCCCGCCCTCCACCTGCCCTGCCTCCCCTCCATCAGGCTTCGACTCGTTCCGCGGCCGCCAGCTGGAGGCCATCATGGCGGCACTCGCCGGCCAGGACTGCTTCGTGCTGATGCCCACAGGCGGCGGCAAGAGCCTGTGCTACGCTCTGGTGCCGGCCATCCGCCCCGGCACCGTGCTGGTGGTGTCGCCGCTGATAGCGCTGATGCAGGATCAAGTGCAGGTGGGTGGCGGTGGTACCGCCCTGGCCGGCGGGCCTGCCTGCCTGCTTTCCTGCCCACGAGCATGCTCTCGGCTGCCTGTGCCCTGCGCTTGCTCCGATGCCTGCCCCGCCTTGCCTCCCGGCCCTCCACACTTCTTCCCTCCTGCGTGCCTTGGCGGCAGGCCCTGCGCGCCCGCGGCCTGCGTGCCGACCTCCTGTCTAGCACACGAACCGAGGCCGACCGCCGCCGCCTGCTGGAAGACCTGCAGCAGCACAGGCCTGACACGCAGGTGGGGGCGGTGCGCCATGCGCTGTGCGGCACCGCTGAGGCTGGGGCGCGCGTAGCAGCAGCCCATGGGGAGCAGGGCATGTTGTTGCCGCCCTGCCTGCCTGAAGGGCTACCGCACCTGTGCCCCGCCCTGCCCTCGCGCCCACCCTCCCCCCCGCAGCTGCTGTACGTGACCCCCGAGCTGCTGGCCACCGCCGGCTTCATGCGCTGCCTGCGCGGCGCGTACGCGGCGGGCGCCCTGCAGCTGGTGGCGGTGGACGAGGCGCACAGCATCTCAGCCATGGGCCACGACTTCCGACCCGCATACAGGTGCCGCCGCCTCCGCCGCTGCTGCTGCCGCCGCCGCTGCTGCTGCTGCTGCTGCCGCCGTCTCCGCCGCTGCTGCTGCCGCCGCCGCTGCTGCTGCTGCTGCTGCCGCTGCCGCCGCCGCTGCTGCTGCCGCCGCCGCTGCTGCTGCCGCCGCCGCTGCTGCTGCTGCTGCTGCCGCCGTCTCCGCCGCTGCCGCTGCCGCCGCCGCTGCTGCTGCCGCCGCCGCCGCTGCTGCTGCTGCTGCCGCCGTCTCCGCCGCTGCTGCTGCCGCCGCCGCTGCTGCTGCTGCTGCCGCTGCTGCTGCTGCTGCTGCCGCTGCTGCTGCTGTGTGTGTGGTGGTGGCGGGGCCCAAAGCCGGGGCTGTGGCTGGAGCCCTCGAGACAGGGAGGCAGCGAGAGGATGGGCAGGCAGCAGCAGCCCTGTGCGCTCGAGCACGCCGCCTGCCGCCCCCGCGCGCCCACACGCCCCGCAGGCAGCTGGGCGCCGTGCGGCGGGAGCTGCCGCGCCTGCCGCTCATGGCGCTCACCGCCACCGCCTCGGACCGCGTGCAGCGCGACATTGTGCGGCAGCTGGGCATGCGGGAGCCGCGGCTGCTGCGCACCTCCTTTGACCGGCCCAACATACGCTACGAAGGTGGGTGCCCGCTCGCCTCCCGCCGCCTGCTCGCCCTGCATGCATGCTGCAGCCGGCGGCAGCCAGTCCCCCGTTGAGCCAGCAGAGCCGCTGCCTGCCCCCTCATCCCGTCCTTGCCCGGCGCAGTGCGCTACCTGGATCTGCTGAGGGACCGGGAGGGGCAGCCGCTGGCCTCGCCGCTGCCAGACATCATCGCGCTGCTGCGGGGCGGCGGCGGTGCAGGCGGCGCGCCACCTGGCAACCAGCAGCCCCAGCAGCAGCCCCAGCAGCAGCAGGGTGAGCAGCAAGGGAAGGTGCCGGTGCCGTGTACTGTCATCTACTGCCACCGGCGGGAGGATGTGGACCGAGTGGCGGCGGCGCTGCGAGCCCACGGCATCGCGGCGGCCGCCTACCACGCCGGCCTGCCGGGTGCCACCCGCAGCCGGGTGCTGCAGGACTGGCAGGCCGGCAGGCTGGCGGTGGTGGCAGCCACGGTCGCGTTTGGCATGGGCATCGATCGCGCGGGTGAGGCGGCGGCGCCGTGGGACACCTGGCAGCGCAATTTTGTCGCTGTGCGTGGGAGGAGGCTGTGCTGCGGAGGCATGCAGCGCCTCTCCTGCTGTGTGCTGACCGCCCGCTGCTTGCGCCCCGCCCCTCTTGCCGCCGCCCCGCGCCGCCAGATGTGCGCTACGTGCTGCACCACTCGCTGCCCGGCTCGCTGGAGGCGTATTATCAGGAGGCGGGGCGGGCGGGGCGGGACGGCGCCCCCTCCCGCAGCATAGTCTATTACAGCCGCCGAGACCGGGAGAGGCACGAGTTTGTGCTGCGCAGGCAGGGGGAGGAGGAGGGGGGCAGGCAGCGGGGGCAGCGGGAGCAGGGAGGCGGCGGCGGCGGCGGCCACGAGGCAGCGGCACCCAACCAGCTGCGCCAGTTCCGGCAGGTAGGTGGCTGGCTGGCTGCCGCCCGGCACGCGCCTCGCGGGGCTGGGGCCGACTGCAGCGGGGCGCGGCACCGCGCTGCCTCGTCTCCCCCCCCACACCACCCGCCTGCCACCTTGTACCGCCGTGCAGGTGGTGGAGTACTGCCTGTCCCGCTCCTGCCGCCGCGCCCAGGTGCTGAGGCACTTTGGAGAGGAGCCGCCGCGCCGCGCCGCCGGCGCCCTGGCCGCCGCCGCCTGCTGCGACGCCTGCGACGGCGCCGCCGGGGTGGCCGCGGCGCTGCAGCAGCTGGCGGGGGCGGAGGCGCAGCGCCGCCAGCAGCGAGCGGCGGGCGGCAAGCACGGCCTAGGCTGTAATGACGGCGGCGGCGGAGGCAGGGGCGGCGGTGGTGGGGCTGGCGGGGAGCTGGAGTTTGAGCGGAGCTGGGCGCCAGAGGGGCTGTATTACGACCAAGGTGGGCGGCGGCTACCGGGCAGCTGCCTCTGGTGCTTTTTTTCGGGGCTGCTTGCTTATGGCGGGCCTCGCTGGCGCCGCCTGGCCGAGCCTCCCCCCCGCCTGCCCGCTGCAGAGGGCCCCAGCCGGGCGCTCGCGGAGAGCGAGGAGGAGGAGGTGATAGAGGCGTCGGAGGATGAGGGTGGGTGGAGGCGACATGGCACCGGAGAGCGTGCAGAGCGAGGGTCTGCTGCGCATGCTGTGGTTACCGCTGCCCTGGCAGCGACACCGTGCCTGTCGCACGCTGCTCTGCGCCGCCCTCACCATCCGCCCCTGCCCCTGCCCTCCACACGCCCCAACGGCTGCAGGGGACGGCGGCGCGGCTGCCGCGGCCATGCATCGAGCCCGGCAGGCCTCCCGCGGCAGCCCGGCGCGCATGCTGGCGGCGATGGAGCGTGCAGAGGAGCGGCACGAGCGGGTGCAGGCGGGGGGGGAGGGCAAGAGGGCTCGGCTGATGCAGAAGCTGGATGGAGGAGGAGGAGGAGGAGGGGGCGGCGGCAGTGCGGCAGGCAGCAGCAGCGGTGTGACGGATGCGCTGCTGCAGGCCGCCAGCCGCCAGCTGGCGGCAGCCCTGGGCGGCAACCCCGCCCTGGCGGCGCAGCTAGGGGGCGGGACCAGGCCTGCTGACGTGGCGGCGGCCCTGCAGCGCCAGCTGGCGACAGGCCGCCCCTCCAAGCCCGTCTTCCAGTCCAAGCTGTCCAACCTGGCTCTGCAGCTGAAGAAAGCGCGGGGCACGGGCGATGTGCCCGCCCTGGCAGCCGCGCTCGCCGCCTTGGGGCCGCCAGCCTGCTCGCCAGCCACAGCAGCAGCAGCAGCAGCAGCAGCAGCAGCAGACGCGCCACCAACAGCAGTACCGCCGGCACCAGCAGCGCTGTCTCCCAGCCGCCTACAGCAGCAGGTGGCCGAGGCGGTGGGGCTGGCAGAGGCGGCTGTGCCGGCAAGCGGCGGCACGGCCACTGCAGCGGCCGCAGAGGCAGCGGCGGCGGCGCTGCAGTCCCTGGCAGGTGCCGCCGTCACAGCGGAGCTGCTGCAGGAGACGGGGGCGGGGCGGCAGGTGCAGCGCCTGCGCAAGCACGCGGCGGCGGCGGTGGCGGCGGCGGCGGGCGGCGTGGTGGAGGCCTGGAAGGCGCGCCTGGCGGCGGCAGGGGCGGCGGAGGGGGCACAGTGAGGCAACCCCGGCTCCCCCTCCCCTCCTTGCACAGAAATGGCACGTCCCTTTCTTGCGCATCAGCTCCCAGCTGCTCCTGTCAGCCTCCCAGCAGTTGCATCCGAGGCGACCGGACACAAACCCGCGACTGCGTTACAGGAGGCGGCGCTTGCGTGCTGCCCCAGCACAGAGAGCGGCACGCCATCGGCGGCGGCCTGGGGGGCACGGGGGAGAGAGCAAAAGGCTGCCTCCTGCCGCGGCCGCCCCCACCCCGCCGCCGCACGTGCCCCCTCCTCACCCCGCGCTCACAATGTTGCCCACCAGGTCCTCGGCCTCCCCCCGCGCCCCGCAGCTCGACACGATGGCGGCAAACGAGTCGCGGTCCTCGTCGCGAGGCAGGGAGGCGTTGCCGCCGCCTGCGCGGTCTGCAGGCGGGGAGGGGAGGAGGGAGGGAGGGCAGGGGTCAGCAGGCGGCGGGCAGGCACCACGTTCAGCAGAGGTGCAGGGCTGGGCAGCACAGCCAGAGAGACGGCGCCCTGCTGCTGGCCCAGACCGCCCGCTCGGTGCCCCCAGCGCTGTGGCCCCGGCAGGCTCTGCAGCGCGCTGCTTGGCACCCCGCCCCCGCCTGCGTGCGCCCCTCACCGCACGCGCTCAGCTTGTCCTGCAGCTGCGTGGCGTCCAGGCCGGTGGCCCCCGAGGTGGACTGGATGATAAGCCACGTCAGCTGGTCGGCGGCAAAGCTGCGGGGAGCAGACAGGACGGGGTGGGGTGGGGTGGGGGGTGG